AGCTTTTCTGCTTCTGTAACAGACATGTATAATGGTAAATCTCAGGAATTCTGAATTCTAACCTCATAAAAGAGATATCAGAATGACATTCAACATAGAACAAAAACATTTTGGAACTAGTGTTAAGGAGTTTAAATCCCTCGGTCTGTATCATCCATCCCCACCCATCCATCCATCCATCCATCCATCCATCTCTCAAAATATATTACAATTAAGACATTAAAAACATTTCATGTTTTTACCATGAAACCACGAACCACATTGAAGGAACTCTTACCGTCTCTCTAACTTATTTTTCCCCAACCCAATGTCCTTCAGGAGTGTTGGATTACAAATCCCATCATGCCAGCCAGCATGGTCCACTGATGATGGGGACTGTAATCAGCCTAATTCTTGCACCCAGGGTAGAAGGAATTAACCATCACTTTTAAGGGATTATTTTTTTCAACTACTCAATCAATCCTTTTTATTTTGTTTATTAAATGTATGTGCCACCCATCTCACTGCAGAGCAGCTCCTATAGACCTTGGGTCTCCTGATAGTCTCCTATCCAAGAACTTACCAGGTTTGTTGCAGGAGGGACAGGTTTGATGTAAGGAAGACAAGAGGAGATCAGATGGATCATGGAAATAGGTAGATAGATGGATGGATGGGTGGGTGGATGGATGATAGAGGAGGGGGAGAAGGAATAGCAGGACCTGCAGGTGGAGTTAAAAGAGGAATCAGTCTAGAATCTCTCCATGGCCACAAACTCAATACGTCCAATCTCCCTTGAATTCTGTTGACCCTTATCTAACTCCAAGCAGTTCGTTGAGTACATTCCTGTGCAAAGGCATAAGTAGCAATAAATCAATTTAACTGGACCTTTATCTGTGGGCCCGATCTTTTCCGCTTTACATACTGTAGATAGATCAATCAAGTTCAATCAAGAGATTGCACTGCCATTTGTCAGAAATGGTGTAGGGTCTGCTAAGGCGGGGTGTGTGTGTGTGGACTAGATGACCTCCAAGGTCCCTTTCTAACTGTTATCTGAAAGATTTGTTTACAGTATGTTCCTTCCCCGGCCAGTTTGATCTAGTAGTGGTTAAGGCACTGAGATAGACAGAAAGCAGAGAGACCAGACCATGAGTTCAAGTCCTGATTTAGCCATCAAAGCTATCTGTATGGCTCTGGGCCAGTCCCTCTCTCTCAGCCCAACCTACCTCACAGGGTTGTTGTTGTAGGGAAAATAAAAGAAGGAAGTTTTGCTGGATATATTTGCTGCCTTGAGATTCTTTTTGCGGGGGGTGTGTGTAAAAAATAATAGAGGTGGGATGTGAGTAATTCACAAAGGAATAAATATAATCTCGAAAGAATGAGGGATGATGTCAGATCTACTTTTGGAAGGAGAAGGGGAGGAAAGTCCAGCAGATAGTTCAAGGTGCGATTATGGGAAAAATGGGCCGCACCTTTACAGTTCAAGACTTCAGCATCGAAAACATTCACCCTCTCTTTGCCACTGAAACTGGTGCCAATAGCAGTGGGAGTTCTGCTAGGCCTCCAACTCAAGTCAATGAATAGAGATGTCAGTTCAATGAAAGGCATACAAAGACCACCAGGTTCCCCTTGGACTTCCTAACGGACATTTCCCCCCCCCCCCACGACTACTCCCACCCAATAGGGCTCGTGTGTAGAAGTGAGTTAAGACTGATCAGAAGAAAACGTTCATTCATTCATGGAATGGTATAGGTTCTCCTGCTTGAGCAGGGGGCTGGACTAGAAGACCTCCAAGGTCCCTTCCAGCTCATTCTATTCTATTCTATTCTATTCTATTCTATTCTATTCTTTCCTATCCTATCCTATGCTATCCTATTCCATTCCATTCTAATCTATTCTATTCCTATTCTATTCAATTTTTCCTATTCTATTCCATTCCATTCCTCATTCTAATATTCTATTCTATTCTATTCTATTCTATTCTATTCTATTCTATTCTATTCTGTTCCGTTCCATTCCATGCTATGCCATTTCTATTTCTATTATTCTATTCTATTCTATTCTATTCTATTCTATTCTATTCTATTCTATTCTATTCTATTCTATTCTATTCTATTCTATTCCATTCCATTCCATTCCATTCCATTCCATTCCATTCCATTCTTATTCTATCCTATCCTATCCTATCCTATCCCATTCCATTCTATTTCTATTTCTATTCTATTCGTATTCTATTTAATTTTTCCTATTCCATTCCATTCCTCCTATTCTATTCTATTCTATTCTATTCTATTCTATTCTATTCTATTCTATTCTATTCTATTCTATTCTATATTCTATTTTTGGAGACTCGTGTGACGCTAAGAAAGTATTTGTAGGTTGACTATGGAATAGGACACAATTACAGGCAGTCCTTGACTTACGACCATTCATTTAGTGATCGTTCAAAGTTACAACGCCCCTGAAAAAATGTGACTTATGACCGTTTTCCACACTCACGGCTGTTGCAGCCTCCCCATGGCCACACGAACAAAATTTCGATGCTTACCAAATGACTCCTATTTATGATGGTTGCAACGTCCCGGGAGTCACGTGATCCCGTTGCAACCTTCTGACACGCAGAGTCCACGTGGGAAGCCAGATCCACTTAAGAACTGTATTACTCACTTCACAACTGCAGTGGGTTTGTTTAACAATGGTGGCAAGAAAGGTTGTAACATGGAGCAAAACCCAGCTAGCAAATGTCTCACTTAGCCACTGGAATGTTGGGATCAACTGTGATCGTACATCGAGGACTACATGTAAGGTAAAGGTGACGGTTCCCTTCTCACATCCGTGCTAGTTGTTTCCGGCTCTAGTGGGCGGTGCTCCTCTCTGTTACAAAGCTGAAGAAGAGCCAGCGCTGTCCGAAGACATCTCCGTGGGTCATGTGGCCAGCAGGACTAAATGCAGAAGGCGCATGGAGGAACGCTGTTCCCTTCCCAGCAAAGGGGTCCCTATTTTTCTACTTGCCTCTTTTTAATGTGCTTTTAGGTTGGAAGAAGCTGAGACAAGTGACAGGAGCTCACTCCGTGATGCGGTGCTAGGGATTTGAACCGCCGAACTGCCGACCTTCCTGATCAACAAGCTCAGCGTCTTAGCCACTGAGCCACCATGTCCATGTAAACGACATGTTCATAACAAAACAACCTCTCCCAAATAATAACGTGTGAAGCAAAGACGGAGGGTGTTGGCCCAACCGTAAGTCATTCTTTAAACAAAAAACAAAAAAAAAACTATGTGAGAGCTTCCTAACCCAGCGGATTTGGTTCACACAATCCATCCAACACACACTAGCCAAATCCTGTTCAGTGGCACCTGTGGGAAGCCAGCTGAGTTCCTGCCATTCCACCAACAGTTCCACCCCCCCACCTTCTTGGCAGCTGCCCTCATTTGACCTTAATTCCAGTGCCTCCTCCGTGCCTAAGCCCAGGAGAGAGAGCTGGCTCAAACTCTTAGCAACAGAGAAAGCTATTTTCTAAGCAGGTCAACGCCAGCTGGCTCCCCACGTTGCAGTGCAGAGCCGTTCGCCGTAGCAATGTTCCTGCGTGGAAACAACGGACCGCTTGCACAACGCCGACCCAAGGACCCATCTTTCTCAAAACCACATCGCATGGGTGCCACCCAGCTGCTCGACCCAGCATGAGGCGTGGAAAGATTCGGTTTTGCCTTGTGCGTTGGCTAGTGGTGACATTTTTTTAAAACAACAACAACAACAACAACCCGCAGAGAAAGCATGATGGATGATGTCTATCAGCGCGGCCTCTCGCTGCAATGTGCCAAGCCAGCTCCTCTGCCCCTTCCAAAGCAATGCCGCTCTTCGAGAAGAGCCTTAAGATCAAGGCTCCCTCACAAAACTCCTCTGGCCCAGGAGTTTGCCGGCCGACGGCCACCCCTTTAAGGACAAGACATCCCATAACCCGCCCCAAATCAAAGACACAACACTGAAGGGGGCTACGTGTCTCTAAGATGATCGGCCTGCCAACCTTCCCGGCTAGCGTAGAGCAGAGAAGGGGTGTGCATCGTAAGCGCCTTAGCAAAAGCGCAGACCGTCCCTGTCCTAATGTTCCCTTTATTCATACCCATTTCATTTATTAATCATCCTGCATCTGTGAGCTTAATACATGCTCGACAATATAAATAAATAAACTATCAGCCCTGAGGGAACCGGAACTGGCTTACCTGCAGATGGAGCTCTTTGGGTTGGCCATGGGGCCCGTCCACCACGCCGCTGCCTTTGTGTTACGAAACCCAGACCCCCCCCCACTTTTTTTCCCCACCCCCCCCCCCCCCCAGTCTTGCTCTCCAGACAAGCCAAGGAACCAGACGCAGCTCCTAACCCCACCCCCCACCCGAAAGATGCCCGGCAGGCTGGTTGGGAAGGGGGGGGGGAGGAAAGCTTTCTGTCTAGGGAGGAAGGAGAGAATGATGTCATTCAGCAGTGTGTGTGTATGTGTGTGTGTGTGTGTGTGATTCATCCCCCTGTACATAACATTAGGGCTCCAGCCAGCCAGAGGTGGGGAAGGGGCTCCCCTAGGGAACCCCTGCAACCGGGGAGGGTCGGGAGAAGGAGGAAAAGGGGAGTGGGGGGGAAGGGCAGGGCAGGCTAGTCAGACGTGGGGGGGGGGAGGGCAGCATGGAAATTAGGGAGAGGCGACCTGGCCTGGGGAAGGAGGAAGAAAGGGGGAAGGAGGAAGAAAGGGGGAAGGAGCAAGAAAAGCGGAAGGAGCAACTGGGAGACCCCCGGGGTCTTTGAGGGGCAAGGAAGAGGGGGGTGGGTGGTCTTTGCAAAGTGTGTGAGGGGGGGGGAGTGCTTTTTGCACACGCAGACGGAGAACAAAACGCACGCACTGGGGTTGGTGAGGAGGGGAGGGGGGGGGAAGGAGAGAGGGGAGGGAGGCTGGACAAAAGCCAGGCGGCCAAATCCGAGGCAGGAGCCGAGGCGCCCCCGCCGGTTGATGCTGGCTGGGTGGTGTTTTTTTACCTTGCTCAGCCCCGCCGCGCTCCGGGCTTCTCCGCCGCGGCTCCTCCGACGGTTGTCCCTGCGGCCGCCGACTCCGTTGCCATCCCGGCTCTCCGGCACTGGGCGGGGAGGGAGGAAGAGAAGAGGAGGAGGAGGAGGAGGAGGGAGGCGGGCACCGAGTGCCGGCTGAGCCCCTCCCCGCTGACGCGCAGGGAACACGCGTGGGTGGGGGACACGGAGAGACGCCTTGTTTTGGAGCCAAGCGGGGCGCTTTTCTCCCCCCTCCTCCACCGCACCCCCCCCACCCAGTGTCGCCTCCTCCTCCTCCTCCTGCTGGTCCTTCTCCTCCATCCCAGCTGAGGGCTCCCGGTTGCTAATGGCGCAAGCGAGCCTCTTCGCGCTGCAGATGTGACGCCGGATTAAAAGCACATCTGGACCGGAGGACCAGATTTCCCTTCCTCCATCGCGGAAAATCTGCAAGGCGCCGTGAGAGCTCAAGACCCGCCCGGGGGGTGACGGGGCGGCCTGAAGAAGAAGCGACCCAACGCAGCAGCATCTTAGCCCCCCCCCTCAAAGATCCAGGAACAGGTGATGGATGCATTCAGGTAGACGGTATGATACCTTCTTCAAGCCAATGACGGCTTCGTCCGGGAAGGTGGGCCTGGCCTGAAGCCTGCTTCGTTTCATTTTTGGCTTAAGGCAAGAATATTTTACACCCCCACACCCCCAAGAGGTGAGCACGCACACACACCAGCTTCCAGTGTGAAGACAGGGCTTTGCCCCTATGAATGGTGGGAGGGGGCGTTTCTGTGTGACCCAGCCCTGGGGTGGCTTGCTAACCTTTTAAATCTTCTGCATTTTAATACTGATTTTTTTTTTTTTTTTGCAGCTGTAAGTTCTAAGTTGTTCTTAGCTCTTTGTTTTTAACCTGCGTGTTTGATTTGGGTTTATTGGGATTTCATTGCAGTGTCTGTAAGCTGCCCAGAGTCACTCAGGCAAGATGGGCTGTGTATAAATTCAATTAAGTAAATTCATTCATCTCGACGGTGACTGTACGCGTAGGGGCATTGAAGCGCATGACCAGGCAAGGTCTTGGCCCCCTTCATCAGCGGGGCAGTGTTAGGCGCTAACAAAGAGACCCATTAGGTGTAGAGGTGAAACTAGTTACTTTATTGTTCTCTGCCTATAGTACAGGAATCTCTGCAGACAGACAGCTTTCGCCTGGGAAAAGACCGGACAAGACTTTAAGGAATTCAGGGGTGGGGTCAGATCTAGCCCTCTTGTGTTTACGTAGAGAGTCTAGGCTGATTCCTCCTTTGAGTCCTATCTGGAACGGCTGGAAGATCAGTGCTGAGGAACACTTAAATGTCCAACTCTTCTTGCTTCCTTGGGAGACATCAAGATAACTGCTGGTTGGTCTTTGGATGGGCCTGGTCTTTGGGTCACCTGAACAGGTTCGTGTTCTGATTTGTGTCTCCCTACAGGCCACAATAAAAATAATAATTTAAAAACCCCCATCTCTTCTGCATCCTCCGGTTTACTTTTCGGCTAACGAGTTGGTTAATCTTTCTTTCCATGCCAGGAATCCTTGTGTTTTTATTTTATTTTAAAAATGTGATTTGTTAGAATGTGAGCCACGTGGTCATAACATACACCAAAGCGTGATAGCTACAAGCTGTGGCAAGGTCTTCACCTCCCAATCTAAGTGTTTCAGCTGAGGATGTGTACCCGTTAGTGGGCTCTTCTTTGCGATGTGCCTTTCTCTCTTCCGGCACAACAACCTTCTGGTTCTCACTGAAGGCTCGTTCTCCCAACCACCTCAATCAAGTCATCTAAAGACCTGGTGACCGGCAAATGAAGGCAGTAGAGATCTGGGGACCGGACTAAGCTTGGTTAGTGTTAATCTTGATTATTATTTTTTTTAATAGTGTGGACCGTCTTGGTGGTTAGTTTGGAGCTCTGGTTTTGTGCTCACATAGAAAATGGGCTAGCTCAGTTGATGTAGGAGATGACCAGGCTGAGCTGGAGGGTGGGATTAAATGCATCATCTGTTTGGAATCCCTACGCTCCTCTAAGAAACCTAAGTCCAGCTCCCTTTGAAGTGCATTGACTCTTATCGGGCGCCAATTCGCCTTGCCCGTTAGTAGATCAGATTCTTGTGTATAGTTAGCATGGAGTAAACTTTTACTACCGGTAAAGGATAATATTTGTAGCATAGAGTTGAAATGAGGGGTCCTTGGTGCTCTCTTGAGTTTGGTTATTTTCCTGCAGACGTTTCACGACCCAACTAGCTAACTAGCTTTGCCTACATGCAAATTTTTGCCACTTCCCTGCTTTCTGAAGAGTGACATCCATATGTGGTACCATACAGGAGAATATTTGGAGCTCAGGGTTGAAATGAGGGCTCCTCAGTGTGCTCTGAGCTTGGTTGACTTTTTGGGCAGATCTTTTGTTACCCAAACTAGGTAATATCACTGGTGCTCATGATAATGTTACCTAGCTGGGTAATGAATCATTTGCAAAAAAAAACCCAAAAAACCAACTAAACTCAAGAGACCATCAAGGATCCCTCAAACTTGTAGTAGTTTTGAACTCTGCCCCGGTTCCTGACTTCTTGCACCTGACCGTTAATTCAGGATTATACGAGCCGCTTCTGATCTTTGTTAGATTCACGAGCCCCTGTTCTTGCATCTCAATTAAACCAGTTTGCTATCTTCTCTGGGCATGTTTATTTTCTTCTCGTTTCTCGGTAGCTTGTTTTGGCTACAATCCCAGAGAGATTCGTCATCTGACGGAGAACATTGTTATTCAATGTAACTCATGCTAGGACGGCAACAGACATGAGATGGCAACACAAAGCCACATTTAGCACGGATAAAGGATACCAACCAATTCTGGGTGGCTTCCTTGTGCTTTTTTTTTTTTTTTTTCAGAATTTTTAAGAACAAAGACGATCCAGGGGGACCGAAGGTTAAAATACACGAAGGACGGCTGCAGGAATTGGGTAGATCTCGTTGAACGGAAAGAAGGACCAGGGAGCGAGTCTTCCGATATCTCAGGAGCTGCCCCAAAGAAGAGAGGGTCAAGCTATTCTCCAAAGCACCTGAAGGCAGCATGAGAAACAATGGGTGGAAACCAACCAAAGAGAGGACCAGCCTAGAAATAAGGAGATATTTCCTGACAGGACAATTCGCCGGCGGAATGGCTGGCCTTCAGAAGTTGCGGGTGATCCCTCAATGAAGGGTTTTAAGAAGAGATTGGACAGCCAAGGCCTCTTCCAACTCTGTTCTTCGGTACGCCGTTTCTTATTCATCCTGCAAGTCTCGTGCAGCAGGCACGGCTGTCACTTGGTTAGATACAGAAAAATACATGATAAATAAAGAAAAGAGACCAAGAACAGAATAGAATCACAGAGTTGGAAGGGACCTTAGAGGTCTTCTAGTCCAACCCCCTGCTCAAGTAGGAGATCCTATACCATTCCGGTCAAGGGGCTGTTCCAGTCTCTTCTTAAAAGCCTCCAGTGATGAAGCACCCGTGACTTTTGGTGGCGAGCTGTCTCACTAGTTTATTATCCTCACTGTCAAGAAATTTCTTCTTAGTTTTAGGTTGCTTCTCTCCTTGAGTAGTTTTCATCTGTTGCTTCCTGTCTTGCCTACAGGTGCTTTGGAGAATCTCCTTCTTCTTTGCGGCAAGCCCTGAGATATTGGAAGATTGCTATCATGTCAACCTTAGCCCTTCTCTTCATTAAACTAGACTTACCCAAGTCCAGCAACCATTCTTCCTATGTTTTAGCTTCCAGTCCTCTAATCACCTTTGTTGCTCTTCTCTGCACTCTTTCTAGAGTCTCAACATCTTTTTTTTACATCGTGGCGACCAAAACTGGATGCAGAATTCCAAGTGTGGCCTGACCAAGGCCTTATAAAGTTATTGATTTCACATGATCTGGATTCTATCCCTCTATTTATGCAGTCTAGAACTCTTGTTGGCTTTTTTTGGCAGCTGCAGCACACTGCTAGCTCATATTTAAGTGATTCTCTAGTAGGACTCCAAGATCCCTCTCACAGTTACTACTATTGAACGTACAGTTATTAACAAAGATGGTGCCTTGGCTAGAGGTGCAAGATTTCTTAAAAGTATGGCACTCCGGAACTGTAATTTCTCCATTTTCCCCATCAGCTGGGCCCATATTTCAACACCAATTGGAAGTTTACAGATTAATACATAGATATCTACCTAATCCAAAATGTGGGTTTATGTTAATGGTGTCTTATTTTTAACTTCATCTGACATTTAGATCAGTTTCTCAGCACCAGTTCTGTTATAATAAACAAGAATATATTCTAACAAATTAATTTATAATAATTATGGACCAAAGCAGGGGAAAATGTAGCGATCTCCCACAAAGATGAGGAGCTGATCTCAAATGTTCCCTATGTTGCTGGATTTTTCTGCCATGCAAAGATCACACAAAACAAACTTGGACCTCACCGTACAACTTTTTACTACAAAATCAACAAAGCACACGTTAAAAAGATTAAAACCTTTTTCTCAGTCCTTCTGCCTGACAAAGCACCCTTTAAACTAGAGATAAAATAATAGAATAAAATATTTATGCAATAGAATAAGATGAACTTTTCAAGACACTAAAAGCAAGATTAAAAACAAAATTAACATATTTACAATCCTTCTCCCCTTCCCTCCCTTTTTTTAAAGGTTCAGGGTTTGAGTTGAACATTTGGACAACAACTCTTTATAAATTAAATGTGTAAGTAATCATTTATCAAAGGAAGACTTGGCAGAATGCATTAAATTAAATTATGTCCCTGGATAAATCTTTAGCTTGCTATAGGTCACAGCAAAACCCTAACAGCATTTCCAAGAAAACCACTTTCCCTCTCTATTAAAAATTGAAAATAAAAAGCAAACACACACACAAACCACGTTGCCAACTGTTCCAATGTGAAGACATTCCAGTGAGTTCGACTCTTAAGTGCATTTTTCAAGACCCGTAAAGCTCATTCTTGTTCTTCATTTCTCTTCTTATTCAGTTTTTTTCTGAAAGCTTTAAAGAAGGGGACACACACACACATACACACCCAAAAACAAGTTTGTCAGAGTAAAGGGAGAAGCTGCTAAATAATGACAATTTTCTCTCTGCTACTGAAAACAAACATCTAGTGAAAGGATAAATCAGCACTGCTTAATACGAAGCTGTAATTGCTAAATATGTCTGAACTAACCAGGAGCCATATTGATGCAGAAATGCATCACAGCAAAAGGCAAAATGTGGTTACCCAGGTAGGACAAGGTCCCAGGATAAGCTGTTTCCGACCTCAAAATCTGTGCTTGGTGATTTTAACCGCTTTCAATGTCACTGCTCACAACACAAGGGCAAAGAGGTGTGTGTGTGTGTGTGTGTGTGTGTGAATGATGAATGGTAAGTGAGATGAGCACAAGGTTTATCATTCTTCTCTTCTTGAATTGACATTCTTCTTTACTCTCACTAAAGGTTGAACTACACATTACACTCCTCACATGTTGAAGGAATCTTGTATGAAAACTGGCTGCTTTAATTCTGCCAGCAAGCCGCTGGGTGAAGCTATATAATGCCTTGACAGCCTGTCTGTCTCTCTTCTGTCCATCCGTCCATCCATATCTATCTATCTATCTATCTATCTATCTATCTATCTATCTATCTATCTATCTATCTATCTATCTATCTTTCATCTACCCACCCACCTACTAACCTACCTACATCCATCTTCTATCTGTCTATATCTATCATCTTATCCATCTATCCATTTGTCCATCCATCCATATCTCTATCATCCATCCATCCATCTACCCATCCACCTATCTACCTACATCCATCTTTTGTCTGTCTGTCTGTCCGTATCTATCTTTATTCATCTATCCATTTGTCCATCCATATCTATCTGTCTTTCTGTCTATCTATCTATTTATCTATATCGTCCATCTATCTACCCATCCACCTACCTACCTACATCCATCTTTTATCTGTCTCTGTATCTATCTTTATTCATCTATCCATTTGTCCATCCAT